ATTTAACGGATCAACTTTGACAGATGCTTGGGGTTCCAAAAAGAACTATACGGGCTGTCCCTACAACCAAAACATTAGAGAGAAAGTGCCATTTCTTGAGCCAAAGTTTATGCATATGGACAAGCTTTGCGGAACTAAGCTTTGTTTCCACAAAGGCACATACATCAACTCGCTTCTTCCGCATGAGGTGGACTCGCCTTATGCTACTTCAAATCGCTATCGCCACCCAGCTGCATTGCCATTCTCCACGACGCTCCGACCCCAATTTCCTTACAGATGTTAGGTCGGCCCCTTCTCCATTGCCAGCTATAACAAGCAATTCGTGCATGGGCCTCCAACATTGTGATGAATCCACAACGAGAGCAGACGGGTCAAGTCCTTCCTCGACAGGCAAGTGGTGGGATTTGTTTATAAGTAATTGTAACTTAGACTTATGCCCTAAACTATCACACTTTTCAACTATCACCGAATCCAAACAATGTACTTTGCAAACTACCGATACCAAATGTGAGTTATGGAAATTTTGCCTTGTGGGATATGTTGTCGGTAAGTATTTAGGATTTAAAGCCCTTAATGGAATCATTAAGGATACTTGGCATTGTGAGGCTTCTTTAACAAGTACATGAATCTGGCTGGCTTATTTATAAATTCAAACAAGAGGAAGATAAGGTTTTGGTGCTTAATAGGGGATCGTATTTGATTTATGGGCGAGCTTTGATTTTGCGACCAATGTCGGAATACTTTGATTTTTCCACCTCCGAGATGGCTACCGTCCCCGTTTGGGTCAAGCTCCCCAATTTGCCACTCAAATGTTGGTCCACTATGTGTTTGTCGAAGATTGCTAGTTTGTTAGGAAAACCTCTCCAATGCGACCGTTTGATTGCTTCAATGGATAAACTATCCTATGCTCGAGTCCTTATGGAACTAAATATTATGGAAACTCTCCCCGGATGGTCGGCATCTTATTACCGAATAATACCACCCTCTTGCAACCAGATTGTTTATGAGACTCTCCCCATTCATTGCAAAAATTGCCATATACTTGGGCATTCCACAACTCGCATGTAAAAATCAAGCCCCTCCGGAATTGAGTAAGGAAACCACCAATGGCAAGTGAAGCTCGCTGGCGAGGCGAGCCGTAACAAGTGTTTTCCAACGATTGGGTGATTCCGCCAAGGTGCGCCCGGCCACAGTCCACTCACCTACCGACCCCATGCTATTGGAAGCTACTAATTGGGAGACAAGAAAGCACAAAACACACTCTCGCGAGCTATCGATAAAGGTAAACATGTTATGGTTGATTCTACCATAGGTCCAAGCGTCCCCTTCCGACACTAAGCCGATTGAGGTTCGACCTGGGGTGGAAGGTTGCAGCAATAGGGACACGGGTGGGCCGAGAAGCCAAATTGTTGAGCAAGCCAAACTACAAGGCCATCATGACAGGGGCAGTGTCGGCTCAGTGGTACTCGTAGGAATGGCTCTCCCGATAGAAAAGATAGTGGCAAGTCGTGGCCTCCCATCACAGGGGTTGTTCTCGACAAGGAAGGTGAATGCCTTAATGTTCCAGCCTTCCCTCGGGGACACCAATTTGGATCCCCCGATCGGACAAGAAGAGCGGACCGCCGAGCCACTTCGCCTAGGCGAGCCGCCAGCAGAGTGGCAAGAAAGGGTAGAAGCGGGGGTCGAAGGGGCTCGGCCTCTTCCGCTCGTCCATGATTATATTTAGTCGGAGTATCAAAGGACTTAATAGTCATCCGAAACAAGCATGAGGTAGTGCATTCTCATGAAGAAAAACAAGGTTGATATGTGTGCCTTCGTTGAAACAAAACTCGGCTCCGCTAAGCTTGTCAATATGCATCGGCTTAGACTCGAAGCAATGGAGCTTTATGTCCAATGCTACGATAATGGGAAATGCCCTTATTGCACTTTTCTAGAATCCAAGCACCATAATAGTTAATATGTTAAATGTCTCTATTCAAGGTCTAAATGTTAGGATCACCGACCTTGTACAATGACCTATCTTTTAATGCCACTTTTATCTACGGGTTACACTCCATCACTGCTAGAAGATGGTTGTGGGTCGATCTTCGTCGATGGCAATCGAATTGCCCTTGGCTTATTTTGGGGGACTTTAACTCGATTTTCTCGCATGCCGATAAAAATAAAGGTGATGCTCGTCTCCAACTACGAGACTCGTCGACTTTAGAAGTTGTTGCTCGGATCTTGGGCTAACGGACCTTAACTACACGAGGAGCCATTTTACTTGGAATGGGGCGGATGTTTGGACTAAAATCGATAGAGTTCTAGCTAACCCTTTTTGGTCCTCCACCGAGTAGCTTGCTCATGTTCATTTTGGCCCTCTAGGCGCTTTTCTAGATCATTCTCCAGTTATGGTAGACTTAGGCTCCCGTGTTCATTTCGAAACTCGAAGCTTCAAATTCTTCAATATGTGGGCTGCCCACGTTGATTTTTAGAGAACCGTGGCCGATTGTTGGGAAGCTAGAATCGGTGGCACCCCAATGTATGTCCTTTATCGCAAATTGAAATCTCTCAAGGAACCACTCAAGAAGCCGAACACACTCCATTTCACCCACATCTCCCAAAGGGTGGTCGTGGCCGAATCCGACTTGGCTACACTACGGATCGAGCTTCACTCGGATAGAGATAATTTGGAGCTTTTTCAGAATGAAAAGAGGCTCCGACTCTATCCGGTTAATCTCAAAGCCTCGAAAAAGATGTTTTTTGGTCGAAATTAAAGTGCAAGTTCCTTAAGGATTGCGACAAAGGCACTAGTTTCTTTCATCGCCTTATGAATCGAAGCACAAAGCCAACCATATTGTTGAACTTAAACAGGGAGATGGGTAGCTCACTACCTCTATTACGAAGTAGGAGAGGAGTTTGTTTCCTATTATAAAAACCTCTTAGGTACCATTAAAGCTACGGTGCCCCTCGACCCGCATATTGTTGCTAGTGGGCCTCGATTACAAATGGCTAGCCATGACCGGCTTCTCTCCCCGGTCACGATGGATCTCATCCAGAAGACACCGTTCAAGCATAGTACAATGATAAAGCACCGTGCCCCGATGGGTACTCTTCCTTCTTCTTCAAACAGGCTTAGGCATATTGTTGGGAGAGACTTTTGTGCAACGGTTCAAGAGTTTTTTGTACCTGGAAGCTCCCGAAATAGGTTAGCCACTCTATTATAGCTTTAGTCCCCAAAATGGCCAATGCTACCTTGCCAAGTGACTACGTACCAATCCCCTACTCGTAATGTAGTTTATAAGGTGATTACCAAGATCATTTCCTCTCGGCTATCCTCGACTCGATCGATATAGTTAATCCTATGCAGAATGCCTACTTGGGGGCCGAAAAATGTCGTACAATACGTGTTTGGTTCAAGAGTTGCTTCGACTCGTATGGACGAAAGCGATCTTCTCCGAGGTGCTTAATGAAGGTTGATTTTCGTAAGGCCTTTGACTCCGTGCAATGGGGTTTCGTAAAATAGCTTCTATTATAATTGGGCTTCTCGAGAAGATTTGTTGGTTGGATTATGACATGTGTAGAATCGCCTTCCTACTCCATTTCGATCAACGGGGGCCTGTTTGGGTTCTTCCTTGGAAAAGCAAGTGTTAAGCAAGGTCACCCTCTCTCTCCCTACCTATATTGTGGTCCGCACGGAATACTTCTCTCGCTTATCGCAGGTTGCAGCAAGAAATTCTGACTTTCGCTTCCACCCTCAACGTGGGATCCATGCTATCACCCACCTAGCCTTTGCGGATGATGTCTTGTTGCTTAGCTGTGGAGATGCCGCCTCTATAAGGATTCTGTCTAGCCAGCTATCTATCTTTGGTAGTGTATCCAGACCTAGCCATCAATGTGGCCAAGTCCTTGATCTTCTTCGGTGGGGTGGGAAGTGATTTGAAAAACTCCATCCTCTAAGAAATTGGGTTCCGTGAGGGCTCTTTCCCCTTCAAATACCTGGGGGTCCCTCTAAGCCCTCATCGCTTGCTTGCTAGTCGGCTTGCCCCTTTGCTACACAATCTTGAATCCGCGATTCAAAGCCGGATGGGAAAACATCTATCCCGTGCGAGTAGGCTCGAGCTTCTCGCATCCATCCTCTTTAGCATGATACAATTCCGGCTTACTATCTTTCCTATGCCTACCGTGTTTATTACACGTATCACCGCAGATGATGTCGGAATTGGTGGCTTGGAAAAGCCTTTGTTCCCCTAAATCGAAGGTGGCTTAGGAGTCTTCAACATCAAAGCGAAAAATCAAAGTTTTTTGGCTAAAAGGATCCGGGACATACACCTCAAGGCCGACTCCATTTAGATTTGCTAGGTCCATCACTTCTACTTGCAAGACAGCCGAGTGTGGGATGTTGCCGCCCATCGTAATGCTTTGCCGTTGTGGAAAGCTATTCTCGATTTGAAAGACTTGCTTATTGTGAAATATGAGAGTAAAGATGCAGCTATACGTGAGCTTGCTCGGTGAAACTCGATAGAGGGAAGTTTCTCTAATATTGCATATACACGGCTTAGGCCAATAGGGGAACTAGTGTTCCGGGGTAGGGTGATTTGGGAGTCATGGTCCATGCCACGACATTCCTTTATTCTATGGCTTCGTCGCTAGGGGTGCCTTAAAAACTAAGAACCGTCTTCATTTTCTCGCCTACCAGTGATGCATGTCTTCTTTGTGATCAAGCTACCGAGTCATATAACCATTTGTTCTTCTCCTCGCCTTTAAATCGCTAACCTTCGGTTGAATATTAAGCGATGGTTGCAAATTCACGGAGGTATGCGGACGCTCACTAGTGCTATCGAAGGCCTCTCCTGTCGTTGTAACAATCTTGCAAGCAAAAATGAGGAGAGTGGCCCTTAGTATCACGATTTATGTCATATGGGAAGAAAGAAACAGCGCACCTTTGATGGGTCGGCTAGCTTGGTGGACAATGTGTTTCGTAAATTTCAGATTATTTTTCTATATGGTATTCTATTTTC